TCTACTCCACTCTCCACTCCATTCCATTCATTATTCTATTCTATTCTATTCTATTCTATTCTATTCTATTCTATTCTATATTCCAATATCCTATATTGACTGTTTCCTAGTGTGATTTGATTGCTTCTTGTACCCTATGACTATTATTAAGTGTTGTACCTGAGGATTCTTGACTCTTGACGAATGTACCTTTTCTTTTATGTACACAGAGAGTATATACAGCCTCAGTGGAGCAATGGTTAAGAGTTCAGCTAGCTGCAGCCAGCTGCCTGCAATTTGTCAGTTCGAATCCCACCAGGCTCGCGGTTGACTCAATCTTCCCTCCTTCCAAGGTGGGTAAAATGACGACCCAGATTGTTGGAAGCAAGAGGCTGACTCTGTAAACCGCTTAGGCTGTAAAGCAGTATATAAGTATAAGTGCTATTGCTATACGCACCAAGGCAAATTCCTTGTGTGTCCCATCACACTTAGCCAATAAAGAATTCTATTCTATTCTGGATGACTGTGTACCATCTCCCATAAACCACAACTTGGCAAATAGTTTTTTTCCTCCAGAGTCAAAACATTTGGCCACGAAGCCGGCTCAGCAAAGGTTTGTTAAGACGTATACACAACCCCATCTTAAGCGCTTACACCAAGCCAGGCCAGCAGGTAAACACCGACACACACACACACACACACACACACAAACCCGGAGGAAACAACTCCAAGTCGCAAGGCTTGGCCTTGGATGTGAAGTCCATTTTTTTTCCCCGCTTACCATTTTCAATTTGTGCTGCTGCAGGATCTCATCCAGGTTTTGCCTTTTCTTGTAGTTGAAGTAGAAGTTTTTGCACTGCGAGACGCTCTTCGACCCCACCATGCGGGCAATGGCGGACCAGTTGCGTCCATGTTCAAGGAGACCTGGGTGGACAAGGCAGAAAAGCAGAAGGTTAAAAAAAAAAAGCAGGTACAGGAAGGTGGTTGAAGGCAGAGAGTTTTTTTTAAAAAAAGGCTTTAGTTTTAGTTTAGCTTACTTGATTGTCATTGCACCCCGTACAACAAAATCAAACCTCGCCTTCAGTGCACATCATGACCATGAAAATAAACACAAGCACACAATTTCACCCTCCACACATTGAACCGAAAATCCCCGACACTGCACCAACACTGCACTATGTAGTAGAATTCAACAGAGCTCCTGCCCTGGGATAGAAGCTGTTTTTCAGCCTATTTGTCCTTGTTTTTATTCTCCTGTAACATCTGCCAGATGGTAATAGTTCAAAAAAAAGGGGTGCTCAGGATGAGATGGATCTTTGAGAATGTTTTGAACTTTTTTAAGGTAGCAGGAGGATGTTTTGAACTTTCTTAAAGCTCTTCCAAAGAGGGGAGAGGGCAATTGCATTCTATACAATTAATATTGTGTTAATATTGCCCTATACAACAGAATGCAATAGAGCTACTGCCCTGGGATAGAAGCTGTTTTTCAGCCTGTTTGTCTATTTGTCCTTGTTTTTCAGCCTGTTTGCCTATTTGTCCTTGTTTTTATTCTCCTGTAACATCTGCCAGTGGTAATAGTTCAAAAAAAGGTGAAGATGTTTTGAACTTTCTTAAGGTTAATTAATATTGTGTTAACATTGCCCTATACAGTAGAAGTCAACAGAGCTACTGCCCTGGGATAGAAGCTGTTTTTCAGCCTGTTTGTCCTTGTTTTTATTATCCTGTACCATCTGCCAGATGGTAATAGATGAACGGTCGTAAGTGTGAGAAACGGTCCCAAGTGACTTTTTTCAGTGCCGCTGTAACCTCAGTTGCTAAGAGAACTGTTGTAAGCCAACAACTTCCCGTATTTAGGATTTGATTGACGCTCTGCTTTTTGGCTCTTGCCAGCTCCCTATCTTCTCATGGACCTACGGAGTCAGTTTGATTTCCTATCTCGCCTGTTTCTTCGAATCGCCGCGCTGATTTTTAGGACGACGCAAAGCATAGATCCGGCCCGTTGTTTTTGATCGAAGCATCCACAGAGGTTTAGCCCAAACCCTCCAAAAGTATCCAAGCCATTCAGGTCAACAACAGGGACATGACAAGCACCTCCACCAGGAAAAATTCCAGAATGTGACGGAATAAGAAAAAAAAACCCTAAACGCTAACCAAGTAGCAAAACAGACAAAATCTCAGCGGTAAACCCATCGGTCGGTTTTTTTTCCCCCTTGCTCGGGGTTGTGTCAAATGCCTTTTGAATGAAAGCACGCTAAACTCTGCCAAAGGAGAACCCTTCTCTCTCCCTCTATTTATTTTTTATTTATTTTTATTTTATTCTCCTCTTTCTCTCTCTCTCCTCTCTCTCTCTCTCCCTCTCTCTTTCTCTCTCTCTCTCTCTCTCTCAAAGGAAGAGAAAGGGAGAGAGAGGGCCATAAAACCACAGTTAATCTTCTCCAGATTAAAAATAATAAAATAAAAGGCAGGAGGATAAAAATAGACGTCGGAATAACGCCTGAGAACTTTGAGGATGGGATGAAAATTGCTTCATCCGCCTGTCATTTGACTCAGGAATCGGGAAGGTGCAACTGTGTTTGTCTTGGCACCTGTTGAGAATTTGAAATTTGTTTCTCTCTCTTTTTTTTTTCCTCCCCTTCTTCTTTTGCTCCAGCCCGCTGGGTTTGCACCAACCCCAACGTTCCTGGGAAACTTTGGAGAGTTTCGCAAACACCCCTAGTAAACAACTCCTTTTAGCCTTCATTTTCAAAAAATATTTTTTTTTTAAAAAAAAGGAACCTGGCAACCCAGAATGGATTTCCCGGAGGTCTTTTGATCGCTCTCCAAAAACCCTAAACTTGGGGGGAAAGTCCCTTCTCTTTTTTTCCTCTTTTGCTTCCTCCCTTGAATAAAGTGGCCTGCTTCACAGGGCTGTTGTAACGCTGTCTGTCTTGGGTGGAAACTGGATTGCGCTGCACCTTCTGTTCTGTGGTCAAATCTGAACTCGTGCCCGGTCCTAATCTGCGGTGTTTTTATTTTTTCACCGCTGGGGTGTTTAGCTAAAGTTGAGTCTCACCTATGTTCGCCTTTTGGGGCTGTTAAGACCCCAAAGGTGGAGAGAGACGCTCCTTGCAAGCTCTGCCAAACTTTGCAAACTTTTCAACAAACTACCTTGAAAAATAAAATAACGCCACATCCCGATGAATGGGCAGAATTCAAGGGGCTGGCATGAAAAATGCATCCTCGTGCCCATCAGAAAACGCCAGGAGGGGGCTCTAGAGCTTTAAGGAGGCTTCAAACCCAGGCTGGCATCACACCTGCTTGATCCTGTGAGGTCTACTCCGTGGGTATCGCCCACGTACGTCCCCGCCCGCCCATCTTCCCAGCAGCAGCCGACACTTGGCACACACAGCTGCCCTTATCTTTCCAGCACCTCCGAGTAAAAACACACACACACACACACCAACACCTGCTTTTCAAAACTATAATTACACACACACACACACACACACACACACACACACACACACGCCTGGGGAAAGACGTGGCTCCTGCCAGGAAAACACCCAGTGTGTCCCACACAGCTGGGAAAAGCCCCCTCCCCAGTAAGTTGCGCTCCCTACAAACTCCACGCCTGCCTGCCCGCCTTCCCTTCCCCGCTGCTCTTAAAAAGTCCCTGCTAAAATTTCAAACTTTTAGGAATTAAAAAACAAAAACAAAAAACCTGAAGAATGTCTCCCATCCCAGCCAGATCTGGCCGTTGGGAGGTCCGGTGCAGAGGGCACGGGTGTTTGGGCATCACCCACCGGGGACCTTCCCACCAGGAACCACGCCAGTGGGACACTCCCTCCTCCTCCTCCTCCTCCTCCTCCCCTCCCTCCCACATCTCGCACACTCAAAAAACAGCTCAGATTTTCCACTTCTCCTCTCCCGCCCCTTGCCCCCCCCTCCCACCCCCCCCCCCCCCCCCCCCCCCCCCCCCCAGCCCCGACTTACATCCTGGTCCACATTCATCTGCTGGTTGCTCGACCGAAACCATACGCGGGGAAGGAGGCAGGCGGATTCTCAGGAGTTTGGGGAAGGAGGAGGAGGAGGAGGAGGTCAGGCCAAACAAAGCAACCTCCCCTCCGCCAGATTAAAAAAAAAAAAAATCCAAGAAAAGGAAAAGAAGAAGACGAAGAGACGAGGCTAATTCGGATGCTCTCTTCCTCCTCCTCCTCCTCCTCCTCCTCTTTGCTGGCTCAGATGTCGCTGTTGCGTTCCTGCTCGCGGCGCGCGGACTCTCTCCGGGCCGTCCCAGAGAAGAGGCATGTGCGCCCAGCCGCCACCGCTGCTCCGGGGAGGGTTTTTCTGCCGCCGGTGCCAAGTCCAAAGTGGGGGAAAGGTCAGCCGATCCCTGAAGGCTTCCCTCCTCCTCCTCCTCCTCCTCCTCTTCCTCCTCCTCCTCCTCCGCCCCTGGCAGTGCCAATCCTCCAACTTGGTCTGCGCCTCCCTCCTCTTCTTCCGAGCGAGCGCAGACTCCCACCTGCTCGCTCCCCGAGCGCCTGCTTCCCAGCCTCGCGTGTGTGTGTGTGTGTGTGTGTGTGTGTGTGCGCGTGTGTGTGTGTGTGTGTGTGTTGTCTCTTTTAAGGAGGAGCAAGAGGATTCGATTCCCTTCCCTCCCCAGCCTCCACAAACTCCCTTGCCAGCCTTCGCCTGCCTTTCCCCCAGCAAGCAGCTCCGGGTGCCAGGAGGGGCAGGAAGGGAAGGGGGAGGAGGAGGAGGAGGAGGAGGAGGAGGAAGCAGCCCAAAGAGACAAGAGATTTTGGGAGAAGGGCCGAAACGTGCAGGCGGGTGCAGCCTTCGGGGAGGCTGGGGAAAGGAGGAAGAGGAGGAGGAGGAGGAGGGGAAGGGCTGGCTTGTAAGGGAGGAAGTAGGAAGCGCCGTGGGGAGCTAGTAGCCCCCCCCCTCTCTGTTTCCCCGCCCTCCTACCCTGCCCCTATGTGACCCAGAAGTTTGCTCCGTCTGAATGTGACCTCTAGACAGCGTCCACAAGCCGCGTGGCATCGGCCCAAGACGACAAGGGTGCGGCCAACTTGGCAAGCCTTCCCCTCCTTCTCTCTCTCTCTCTCTCTCTCTCTCTCTCTCTTTCCCTCCCTCCCTCTCTCTCTCTCTCTGTCAACAGCAGGGGAAAAGAAAGCCAGGAAAACAAAGCCTTCCTTAATCGCTTCCTTCTCTCTGATCTGAATCAAAGGGGTTGTTCTTGGCAGCCGCTCCCACGCAAACGGGGACCCCCCTCCAGCCGGGCCTCTGTTTTTCTCACCCGCCCCCCCTTTCCACACACACACACACACACACACAGACACACATATACACACTTCCTGGAGGAAGGTGGATTTGATCCTAAACCTTTTGGCTCGCAAGGCAGGCCAGATCAGAATTCTGGGAACGCAGGAGGGGCCGGCGGGGAGGCTGGGCAGAAAAGGGGGAGCCGCCCTTCCCCCAAAAATGAGTGGGGTCCCCCCCACTCAAAGGCAGGAAAGTGAGGGGTGCATGCTTCCCCCCCCCTCCCCCATGCAAGGAGATGCATCTCTCTACCCCCAATGTAGAAAGCTTTGGAGTGGGTAGAAAGGGGGGGTCCCCCTCCCGGGAAGGAATCCATCAAGAGCCCCGTTTATTGGGGAGACTCGAAGTCCCTCCTCAAAGGCAGGAAACGGAGGGGTGCATGCTTGCTCCCCCCAATGCAAGGATCTGCATCTTTCCTGCCCCCCCTCCAAATGCAGTGAACTTTAGAGTGGGCAAAAAGAGGGACCGCCCCCGCTCCCCAGGAATGGACCCACCGAGAGCCCCGTTATTGGGGACACCCAAAGCCCAAGGCAGGAAACTGGATGCATGCTTCCCCCACCATGCAAGGACTTGTATCTTTCCTACCCCCCCCCCCCAAAAAAGCAGAAGGGTGCAAAATCCCTTGTGCAAATCTTAGCACCCGATTTAGTGCACCTACAAGGGGCAACGTAAACAGTCCCAGCTCTGGGCAGGACAACCAGACCAGACTGTTCCCTTCCCCCCCCACCACCCCCCCCCAACTCTCTTCCCCTCTAAGAAAACACCCCCTTTCTCCCAAACCCCCGCACAGCACCAAGAATGGACAGCCCAGGGGTCAAAACCAAACTTCAAAGCGTCGGCAGGGACCCCAATTTTCTGAATTAAGCGGTGCCACCAACGTTAAAAAAAAAAGCTCACGAGCCAAAAACTCCTCAGAGGGGCCAGAAGAAAAGAAAGAATGGTGTGTGTGTGTGTGTGTGTGTGTGTGTGTGTGTGTGTGTGTAAGCAAGCTGGGGGGGGGTGCTGAATTCTGCAGCTGGTATAAATTATGCAAATTGGGTTCGTTTGCATACAGCCTGGATTATAGACAGTTTTGAGTCAGCTCCTGGAGACGGAGAAGGCTTGGAAGAGGTGGATAGAGAGACTGGAAGGTGGGGTCTAAAAGCGCCTCTTCCGGTAAGCAGGACAGAATAACAAGACTCGGGAGGGACGTCCGAGGTCTTCGACCCTTTGCTGGCTGGGGAATTCTGGGAGTTGAAGTCCTCCAGGCTTCAAGTTACCAAGGTTGGAGACCCCTGTTCTAGTCCACACACACACCCTGCACAAACAGGACACCCTACATACCAACCCGTGGTTGCCAACCCAGTGGGCCGGGGATCGCTGGAGGTCCACAGAGAAAACGGTGGTGGTCCGCAGAGAGATGTCACCCTCCCAAAGCAATTAATCCAGGCTGCATGGGAACACAAGGCTGCACCACTCACGTGGCCCGTGGGAACATAAGGCTTGTATCACTTGCATGGCGAACAACACAAGGTAGCGAGGGGAGAGGGGAAAGGACGGCGGGGGGACTTGTCCCACGTGCCCCGTGCGCCTAGCTTGGCCGGGCTGCTTCTTTCCACTTCTTTCTTCTTCTGCTTTTGGCTGCACGCAAGGAAAGCAGCAGAAGTCTTTCTTTCTCTCCCGCAACCTCTGCCAGAAATGAGTCTTTGGGACCCTGTAAGACATCTGCTCCAAGAGGCTGCGCCGTCAAAGACTCATTTCTGGAGGAATTTGGGGCAGAGAAAGGAAGACTTCTGTTGCTTCTGCTGCTTTCCTTGCATGAAGCCAAAAGTCTCTCTCTCTCTCTCTCTCTCTCTCCGCATGAGAACGGAGCTGGAGATGGTATCCTGCAATCCCAAATAAAGAATGATTGATTGGTAGGAAAACACGATGGGGAATTTTCCTGCAGACTTTTTGGGGGGATTTTCCCAGGGTCTCTGCTGTTTTTCGCAGAGACCCTGGGAAAATGTCAGCAAGCCACCGTTAGTCAAAATTCATATTAGTGGTCTGTGGGATTTAAAATTATGAGTTTGGTGGTCCCTGAGATCCAAACGGTTGGCGACCCCCTCTTCTTTGGGGCAGCCTCTCAAATATTGGAAGACTGCTATCATGTCGTTCCCCGCAGCCAGTCCTTCTTTTCATTAAACTAGACATACCCAATTCTAGCAACCATTCCTTGTATGTTTTAGCCTTCCAGTCTAAATCAACTTTATGACTCTTCTCTGCATTCAACATCTTTTTTTATATCGCGGTGACCAAAATAGGGTGCAATATTCCAAGTGTGTTCTTACCAAGGCATTATACCAGCTAGACCAGGCTAAATACTTATGGAAATGTAGAACAAGTTAGAACAGGCTCTTTCGACGTTCTTCAACTCTCTAAAGGCCAGCAAAGGAGCAGAACAGAGTAGAACAGAGTTGGAAGGGACCTTGAAGGTCTGCTAGTCCAACCCCCTGCTCAAGCAGGAGATCCTATACCTGTGATGGCGAACCTACGGCACGCAGAGCCATTTGTGCGGGCCTGCAAGCTCCAGGCAAACTTACCTCACTGCACATGTGCGTGCCTCCCAGCTGATTTTCAGGCCTCCTTTGGCCTCCTGGAAATACCGGAAGTGACAAAACGGGCCCATTTTTCAACCTCCAAAGGCTGCAGAGGCTTCCCTTGAGCCTCTGGGTGGCCGAAAAAGGTCCCAAAATCAGCTGAGAGAGGCGTACATGCACAATGCAGTTAAGGGGGTGGGGGGAAGATCACGCGCACATGCGCAGGGGGCGTGGGAAGCCCCGCGCACATTGCCTTCTGGGTGCCGGCACGAGGGCATGCGCGTGAGAGCACAATTTTCGGCACAGGAGACCAAAAAGGTTAGCCGCCACTGTCCTATACCGTTCCATCAATGGACTTCCATAATTCCATTATTTCCAGGATGCACAGTTGAATAAAAGTCTGGGAATAACCGTATCTTCCACGAACAAGTTTCTATACTCTACCAAGCAAAGATCTGGATGAATTTGGAGTCCAGCAGAAATTTATATTTCTTACCAACACATCGAACAGGCGAAGTCCACTCCGCTCAATGTTACTTATCACTGTTTGATGCCAACAATGTTATTTATTTAGGGTGGAGATTCTCCGTAATTTTAAAGGATTCTCTTCTAAAAGGATGTGTGAGGTAGGTGTTCCCAGACTGAATTTGGTCTTCAAGAAGGAGAACAACTTGACCTCCCGCACTTCTTGATGGCAGCCCCTCAAATATTTTATTGTTGCTATCATGTGGGAGATGACCCAGTCACAGAACTGGAAGGGCCCATAGAGGTCTTCTAATCCAACCCCCTGCTCAAGCAGAAACCTTATACCATTTCAGACAGATTCTCGTCCAGTCTCTTCTTGAACAGTAATGGAGCACCCACAATTTCTGGAGGCAAATGGTTCTATTAATTTATTGTTCTTGCCATCCAGAAATATCTTAGTTCTAGGTTGCTTCTCTCCTTGATTAATTTCCATTCATTGCTTCTTGTCCCGCCTCTTCTGGTGCTTTGGAGAATAGCTTGACTCCCTCTTCTTTGGGGCAGCCCCTCAAATATTGAAACACCGCTATCATGTCACCCTTAGTCTTTCTTTTCCCTAGACTGGCTATAACCAATTTCTGCAATGGTTCTTCGTATATTTTAGCCTCCATTCCCCCCTATATTTTAGCCTCACTATATTTTAGACATGCCCAATTGCCTGTAACCGTTCAAGGTATGTTTTAACCTCCAGCCCCATAATCATCTTTGTTGCTCTTCTCTGCACTCTTTTCTAGAGTCTCAACGTATTATTTTTTTAGATCCTGCTGGCCAAAACTGGATGCAGAAAACCCACCTATCTGGACTTCATCCAGATCTGACAGCTGCCAAACTCCCATACTTTTAAACAACCTGGTGCATGCTGGAAAATGGAAGTCCCCTCCTGTTGGAGGGTGCCCAGATTACGGAAGATCACTTTAAATCCATGCCAGGGTATGCCAACTCTCTCCAAGGAACTTCGTATTTTCCTTCTGGGCTAGGAATTGATTTGGCTTCCTATAATTGGGAGGCTACTTTGGAAGAAAGAAAGAAAGAATAAAAAAAAAACCCAAAAAGAAAAGCTCTAAGCATAGGAACCTCAGCCCACAATTACAGCCTCTGCTGAATGTTTAGGCAGTCTGTGGGATTGTGGGTTTATTACACCATAAAAGTGTCACTGAGCGCAGGGTCTGTTTTGTGTCTGCTCACTTTGGCGTTAATTGCAGGGTGTGGTCCTCCTTTTGTCTCCCCCACCCCAGCCCCACAAAATCTCTCCTCCTTCCACTTCGACCTCCTGCTGGAGGCCTAGATCCTATGTCTACTCACTTCTTGCAAGGAGCAACAAACCAACGCCACCTGCCACCAGCAAAGCCATTTTGGTGCCATCGGCAGAGTCACACTGAGCCACCTTAAAGCATTACACGGGCACGAAACGAAAACCCTGTTCAGAGAGCAACAGAGGCAAATATTTGTAGCTCGGGGCTGAATTGTGGGGTCCTTGGGGATCTCTGAGCTGGGTGGTTTTCTTGCAGACATTTCACGACCGAACTAGGTAACTACATCAGTGTTAAAAGGGACTGGGGTTTGTAGCAAAGAAGAGGAGGAGGAAGGTGGGAAGAAGGAGTATTGTGGGGTCCTTGGTGCTCTCTGAGCTTAGTGGTTTTCTTGCAGAGACATTTTACAATCCAACTAGGGAACGTCATCAGTGCTATAAGGTTGTTGGGTTTGCTCTCTGTTTATATATGATGGTTTGCCCTGTCTGTGTTGGTGGGAGTATTCTAGATGGTTCCTTGACAGAGCTGTTGTTGACTGTTTGGTTGGTTGTTTGAGTTGGTAAGTTTCTTGACCTGGAGTATTGTTTACTTCTTGACTGTCGTGTTAGTCTTGGTGTTAAACTCTGCTCATATTGGGTATTAATTGCTGGGGAGGAGGGTTTTTTGTTTCCATTTTGGCTAAGCAAGCCACTAGTGTACAAAAAGAGAACAAACCCTACTTCCTTACTACTAGAACTGATGACGTTACCTAGTTTGGTAATGAAATGTCTGCAAGAAAACAACCAAGCTCAGAGCGCACCAAGGATCCTGTTTCAGACACCCAGCCAGCCACTACATCCTCCCTGGTTTTTCTCCCAAATGCGTAACAGAAAATATCAGACATCTCCTAAACTGGGTCAGATTCTTATACACAACGGCAAACCTTTACACACGATCTTAGCAACTCCTGAATTTGTCCGAAACAAAATAAAAGCGTTGATCTCTAGAGTCAAACGCTTACAAGCAAAATCCGGAGGCTTCCATCCGCCCCGCAAAACAACCTTCAATCTTGCGGTGGCCAGCGATGGCGTTACCCCCGCCAAGCAACACAACCGACCACTGGAGCTTCCAACATGCTCTCTCACAATGGGCGTCTTGCAAAGAAAAAGGAAGCCAGACACTTACCTTTCTTGGCCGTTTCCATCTCCTCCTCAGTCCAGCGAGAACTTTCGTTCATCTCCAGAGAAGCTGGTAGAAAGAAAAGAAGAGATTAGGCTGAAAAACAAATTGCTTGGGGTGTGTGTGTGTG